ACGTAGCACATCGTTTTACCTAGAGCAAAAAGTTCACTTCTACGAAGTTCTAATATTCGTTGCGCCATTTACCTGACTAAGTATGCTATTGCTTTGAATCCTCCTCACCAATGATATCAGAACAATTTTGAAGTGTAATCAAACCGCGGTCTTACGGTCAGCAAAAAAGAATCAACAACACTGGAATTTGCCTCAATGAGGTAGTCTCATGCTGCTGCGGGTGTTCACAGCATGGGAATTCGCAACACACACCCTAGTTCAGTTAGCATACGTTGAGCTTACCCTATTTTTGTTCCAACACTATCATAATGCAGCCTTAGTGGTCGCCGTCTCAAGCGCCTCAGAACAAGAGAACACGCATACGTAGTCATTTGGTAGGCCACGTTCAGAACGTAGCCGTCAATCTCCAGGACATGCCGTCTGCAAATTAATGCAACGTATGCATCCCAAATTATCGCATGAGCCACTCGGCACAGCGAATCACCTTTTTTAAGGCCTGCCCCAGTGCATTCTGTATTTAAGGCGACCATTGCCATTTTCCAGGTGGTTCTTGTTCACATTACTAAACTGAGCCGCTCCGTACGGTGCATAAACAGCCCACTTTCGGGTGATGTACAACCGGTGGGTTGTAAGATAAAAGATCAAACGTGCGTCCGTGCGGCGCAGAAGCTGCAGATCTTGCGATAATATGTATTTGTACTGCGATATACAAAAAACTACTCTATTACTTTGTATCGGTGGGTTGAAGATAAAAGATCAAACGTGCGTCCGTGCGGCGCAGAAGCTGCAGATCTTGCGATAATATGTATTTGTACTGCGATATACCAAAAACTACTCTATTACTTTGTATTATTATTATTATTAAATGCAATCCATGTGCCGGCTGCTAGCAGAGTGTGATTATGACCAATAATACATCAATATTAAATGATGCATACGTGCTTCCTGTTGGACTTTCTGATATAAAGCTAGCATATCACTAAGCCGCAGCCGAATGCGGCTCATTCGAATCGCACTTGCGTCGCCAAATTGCCCATAACGGAAGTCTTTTCCTTGAATAAGTTGAAAAGTTTACGCATAGTATTGTACTGTTCGCTCTCCACGACCAAACACAACAGGATCCCCGGTATCCATGCCGCCTGTTATCAGGAAGTTATCTACAGATTGTATCTACAAGCCGAATATTAAGTGCTTTGGAAAGACCTATCCAAAACGGTTTGTGGCGTGCGTTTCGTACTTACGCTTTCCATTCTGGGAGGCGTCAGATCAACGCCATCAACCGTCACTGGGAGAAGTATATGTGTCTACGGTTACCTTTCTCTGACCGCCACACAAACACGCATTTAGACTTCCGAAGTTTTGCCAGGACCGAAGGCACATCATCTGCCACAATATAACTTAGCTATGCGGCACCCAATCAACCCAGCCGGTCGACGCTCGTGGCAGTAGTTGTGTATGTCTGGAGTGGTGAGAATCCTGTTGAATTTATTGACCGCAAACCACTGCATATCACACGACGGCATTTCATACTTCAGAAGGACCCAGCAGGTGTCTGATTGGTCTTTGGTTAGCCGCCAATTAACCGGAAACCAATCGTACAAATAGTTTGAAAACTCGTGGCCGTGTTCAAGAAAATGAGAGTTGAATGCAAGCTGGTTTCACCGCCTCCGTAGACAAAACCGCAAAGTACAGACGGTGCTTCGAGTACCGCGTTTTATTGAAAAAACACGCTCGGCTTACTAGCTTCTTCGGATTCACCGAATTTCCGCTGGTCATGGTGGTTACCTGCTGCATTTGTGATACGCACATTCATAACGCAAAACATTGATGATGCTTTGACTACTGGATGAACGCCCACTAAGCGCATTGCCATTGTTCATGTATTGAACAAAAGTTTGACAAGAATGCAGCCCAAAAATTTTCAACAAACGAGTGTAAAACCACTTCTGAAGACACGGTACAGCATGCGCATAGTCGAGTGTGCGCCGAAGATTTCAAAAAGTTCCCCAGGAAAACAAATCGATAAAAATGACGGCAGATACGGGTGTTTTCTAATATGAGCTCATATGCAAAAACAGCAAACTTTGACGTATAATCTTTTAGTTCATTCACAAGATTTTGCAGAAAAAAACACTGTGCTTCCAGAGAGCAGAATCTCAATATCTTCTGACATTTCTTGTTAGGGTAGGCATTTTCGAAGAGACCTTCTTCATCCATGAAAAGCACCCAACCAAAAGCCCAAAAGCAGTTAGCGAGAATATTTTGCTAACTTTGAAGAGAACACAAAATTAAGGTGTCCAGCTAAATTGCAAAAGCACAGAAAGTAGTTTCGATGCACCCACCGCACTTTTTCACTGTAGAAAACGCTTCGGATAGTGTTCTGTACGAAGGTATTTTACTAAACTGGTGTTGAGTTTCAATTTGGACGCGCAACGCTGGACAAGCGTCACCAGCGTTTTCCTATTCGGGTGCCTTGCCTCCGATTTCTTGACCTCTGGAAAGGGGTGGCCACCCAATTGGTTAGACGGAAAACCTGGGAGCCAACAAGGAAAAACTCAGTGCTTTCGACGGCGACTTACTGAATGACCACCAATAGGCTGCCGAGTGCATTTGCCCCACCGGCTAATAACTCCCTATCTTCCAAAGTATGCCTTCATTTTAAACTAGGTGCTGCATCTCACCTCGCACTTCTGCTTTGCTGGAATTTGTCGCCTTATTGGGTTTCACTTCACCGAAATGAACAAAACTGGATCGAATGCCAAACACTGTCGTTTGAAAACTAAACTTTTCGGAAGTTTCATAAGGAGGTTGTTTTAATAAACCCGGTGGGCCCGGAAACATAAAGCTGTTAGAAATGGGTTTGTGAGTAATGCTTTTAAGTTAAAATTTAATTTTAACCGGTTACTGGAGGAAAGCAAATGAAGAAGAAAAATTCAACCTTAGATCGACTGAGTTAGTGTTTAAACTACATGAACAAAACGAGATATAGGCTGCAAGCAACGCGAAAACTATGGGAATATGCAACATACTTAAGTCAGACAGCTATTACAAAGAAGACTCCTAGGTTGGATTCAGAGCCAGACAAATGTATTTGAAAACTATGGCAGTTCCAAACTTAGAATTGTGGCTTCGAAAACGGAGTCCGTTTGGCTGTACTAGTAACGTAAATTTTCCGAGGTAAAAGGCCCACCGGGCTCTATCGTTAGCACTCAACAACTCACATTACGCTGCTAAACATGCCTAACGGCATCTGTACGTAAGTAGAAGTAAGGCGGCAGTCAAAGAGAAGAAGAGTAATGGTAAGTCTTGTGTAATTGATAATTTTAACCGTACAAGTTTGGAAGCTCTTCATTTACTGCTAGGCTATCCTTTACCATTGTGGCCAGCAAACATTAACGGTGGACAGGACAGAAAGTGAAAACGGTCTCATGATATCCACCATATCGAAGTGAACAAAAGTTGCCTCGGCGTAATTTACAGTCTAGATGGACATCTCGGTCCAACGAAACGGCTTCAGGACTGTTGTTTTCTCATGTATGTACTATTTATATCAGGCGGCTGGGGCGAATTTCGAAATTTAACAGGAAAAAAGTTCACCAAAATGACATTTGAGCAGTCTTACGTTGAGACAAATTCAGGGCAACGGCTGCAATGTTGGTCGATGTCGTGAGCTTTTGAGTTGAAATACAGTGTGTTATGTTCTCTACTAATCAGTCAATCAACCTTGTCAGTTACACACGAAATTGAGAAGACAAAAAGCCTTGAGGAAATTATACTGCAGCAACTGAACAGCCAATATGTCTGCATCATTAACTTTTGTGTAATTATGTCACGAATATGATATAACCCGTGTGCGCTAACGACCGTCTTATCCACGTAGCACATCGTTTTACCTAGAGCAAAAAGTTCACTTCTACGAAGTTCTAATATTCGTTGCGCCATTTACCTGACTAAGTATGCTATTGCTTTGAATCCTCCTCACCAATGATATCAGAACAATTTTGAAGTGTAATCAAACCGCGGTCTTACGGTCAGCAAAAAAGAATAAACAACACTGGAATTTGCCTCAATGAGGTAGTCTCATGCTGCTGCGGGTGTTCACAGCATGGGAATTCGCAACACACACCCTGGTTCAGTTAGCATACGTTGAGCTTACCTTATATTTGTTCCAACACTATCATAATGCAGCCTTAGTGGTCGCCGTCTCAAGCGCCTCAGAACAAGAGAACACGCATACGTAGTCATTTGGTAGGCCACGTTCAGAACGTAGCCGTCAATCTCCAGGACATGCCGTCTGCAAATTAATGCAACGTATGCATCCCAAATTATCGCATGAGCCACTCGGCACAGCGAATCACCTTTTTTAAGGCCTGCCCCAGTGCATTCTGTATTTAAGGCGACCATTGCCATTTTCCAGGTGGTTCTTGTTCACATTACTAAACTGAGCCGCTCCGTACGGTGCATAAACAGCCCACTTTCGGGTGATGTACAACCGGTGGGTTGTAAGATAAAAGATCAAACGTGCGTCCGTGCGGCGCAGAAGCTGCAGATCTTGCGATAATATGTATTTGTACTGCGATATACAAAAAACTACTCTATTACTTTGTATTATTATTATTATTAAATGCAATCCATGTGCCGGCTGCTAGCAGAGTGTGATTATGACCAATAATACATCAATATTAAATGATGCATACGTGCTTCCTGTTGGACTTTCTGATATAAAGCTAGCATATCACTAAGCCGCAGCCGAATGCGGCTCATTCGAATCGCACTTGCGTCGCCAAATCGCCCATAACGGAAGTCTTTTCCTTGAATAAGTTGAAAAGTTTACGCATAGTATTGTACTGTTCGCTCTCCACGACCAAACACAACAGGATCCCCGGTATCCATGCCGCCTGTTATCAGGAAGTTATCTACAGATTGTATCTACAAGCCGAATATTAAGTGCTTTGGAAAGACCTATCCAAAACGGTTTGTGGCGTGCGTTTCGTACTTACGCTTTCCATTCTGGGAGGCGTCAGATCAACGCTATCAACCATCACTGGGAGAAGTATATGTGTCTACGGTTACCTTTCTCTGACCGCCACACAAACACGCATTTAGTCTTCCGAAGTTTTGCCAGGACCGAAGGCACATCATCTGCCACAATATAACTTAGCTATGCGGCACCCAATCAACCCAGCCGGTCGACGCTCGTGGCAGTTGTATATGTCTGGAGTGGTGAGAATCCTGTTGAATTTATTGACCGCAAACCACTGCACATCACACGACGGCATTTCATACTTCAGAAGGACCCAGCAGGTGTCTGATTGGTCTTTGGTTAGCCGCCAATTAACCGGAAACCAATCGTACAAATAGTTTGAAAACTCGTGGCCGTGTTCAAGAAAATGAGAGTTGAGTGCAAGCTGGTTTCACCGCCTCCGTAGACAAAACCGCAAAGTACAGACGGTGCTTCGAGTACCGCGTTTTATTGAAAAAACACGCTCGGCTTACTAGCTTCTTCGGATTCACCGAATTTCCGCTGGTCATGGTGGTTACCTGCTGCATTTGTGATACGCACATTCATAACGCAAAACATTGATGATGCTTTGACTACTGGATGAACGCCCACTAAGCGCATTGCCATTGTTCATGTATTGAACAAAAGTTTGACAAGCATGCAGCCCAAAAATTTTCAACAAACGAGTGTAAAACCACTTCTGAAGACACGGTACAGCATGCGCATAGTCGAGTTATTGAACAAATGACAAGCATGCAGCCCAAAAATTTTCAACGAACGAGTGTAAAACCACTTCTGAAGACACGGTACAGCATGCGCATAGTTAGTCGTGCGCCGAAGATTTCAAAAAGTTCCCCAGGAAAACAAATCGATAAAAATGACGGCAGATACGGGTGTTTTCTAATATGAGCTCATATGCAAAAACAGCAAACTTTGACGTATAATCTTTTAGTTCATTCACAAGATTTTGCAGGAAAAAACACTGTGCTTCCAGAGAGCAGAATCTCAATATCTTCTGACATTTCTTGTTAGGGTAGGCATTTTCGAAGAGACCTTCTTCATCCATGAAAAACGCCCAACCAAAAGCCCAAAAGCAGTTAGCGAGAATATTTTGCTAACTTTGAAGAGAACACAAAATTAAGGTGTCCAGCTAAATTGCAAAAGCACAGAAAGTAGTTTCGATGCACCCACCGCACTTTTTCACTGTAGAAAACGCTTCGGATAGTGTTCTGTACGAAGGTATTTTACTAAACTGGTGTTGAGTTTCAATTTGGACGCGCAACGCTGGACAAGCGTCACCAGCGTTTTCCCAATTCGGGTGCCTTGCCTCCGATTTCTTGACCTCTGGAAAGGGGTGGCCACCCAATTGGTTAGACGGAAAACCTGGGAGCCAACAAGGAAAAACTCAGCGCTTTCGACGGCGACTTACTGAATGACCACCAATAGGCTGCCGAGTGCATTTGCCCCACCGGCTAATAACTCCCTATCTTCCAAAGTATGCCTTCATTTTAAACTAGGTGCTGCATCTCACCTCGCACTTCTGCTTTGCTGGAATTTGTCGCCTTATTGGGTTTCACTTCACCGAAATGAACAAAACTGGATCGAATGCCAAACACTGTCGTTTGAAAACTAAACTTTTCGGAAGTTTCATAAGGAGGTTGTTTTAATAAACCCGGTGGGCCCGGAAACATAAAGCTGTTAGAAATGGGTTTGTGAGTAATGCTTTTAAGTTAAAATTTAATTTTAACCGGTTACTGGAGGAAAGCAAATGAAGAAGAAAAATTCAACCTTAGATCGACTGAGTTAGTGTTTAAACTACATGAACAAAACGAGATATAGGCTGCAAGCAACGCGAAAACTATGGGAATATGCAACATACTTAAGTCAGACAGCTATTACAAAGAAGACTCCTAGGTTGGATTCAGAGCCAGACAAATGTATTTGAAAACTATGGCAGTTCCAAACTTAGAATTGTGGCTTCGAAAACGGAGTCCGTTTGGCTGTACTAGTAACGTAAATTTTCCGAGGTAAAAGGCCCACCGGGCTCTATCGTTAGCACTCAACAACTCACATTACGCTGCTAAACATGCCTAACGGCATCTGTACGTAAGTAGAAGTAAGGCGGCAGTCAAAGAGAAGAAGAGTAATGGTAAGTCTTGTGTAATTGATAATTTTAACCGTACAAGTTTGGAAGCTCTTCATTTACTGCTAGGCTATCCTTTACCATTGTGGCCAGCAAACATTAACGGTGGACAGGACAGAAAGTGAAAACGGTCTCATGATATCCACCATATCGAAGTGAACAAAAGTTGCCTCGGCGTAATTTACAGTCTAGATGGACATCTCGGTCCAACGAAACGGCTTCAGGACTGTTGTTTTCTCATGTATGTACTATTTATATCAGGCGGCTGGGGCGAATTTCGAAATTTAACAGGAAAAAAGTTCACCAAAATGACATTTGAGCAGTCTTACGTTGAGACAAATTCAGGGCAACGGCTGCAATGTTGGTCGATGTCGTGAGCTTTTGAGTTGAAATACAGTGTGTTATGTTCTCTACTAATCAGTCAATCAACCTTGTCAGTTACACACGAAATTGAGAAGACAAAAAGCCTTGAGGAAATTATACTGCAGCAACTGAACAGCCAATATCGAGAT